GGGTACAGGGAAGACCTTGTAAGCAAATGCATTGCTAATTCTGCCACGCAGTGCACGGATATTCATACCAAGTGAGATAAATAAACGCTACGCAAAGACTAATGAGTTACGAGAAAACTTGGTTTTCAGAATTTTTTGGATTTCAGAATTGCAGATAAAGTCTTGCAGCCTTGTACTGCTTTATTCAAAATAGTTTCATTAGCAACTGATGACCACTTTCTGGAATACGAATCCTCCCAAGTAATTCCCAGAGCAGCTTTTATAATCTCTGTTTCCAAAAAGGGAAAATAAAAGCTCCATGGCTTAAAAGGACAGAGTAAGCCAGAATCTGCACTTCTGTCTGACTCCAAAATGCTTTGTTTTTTTTTCTTAACCACACCACCTTTCCCATTCTCTCTTTTCTTGCTCTTCTGAGTCACTGCTACTTGACCCTAGCTGCATATTGGGACCACCCGGAGAGCTTTAAAAAGTACTGATGCCCGGGTCCCAGCTCCAGGGATTTTGATGTGGTTGGTCTTGGTGTGGCCTGGGCTTCAGACTTTCTGAAAGTTCCCCGGGGATTCCAGGGTGCAGGCAAGGTGAGACGCTGCTCTCCATGGGTTTTCAAGGTGAGCGGGGCATGTTCACGCCAGATGCTTCTACTCACTGCCATCAGGATTGTCCCCTTAGAGCCATGGCTATCAAGCTCGAGTGTTCACCAGACACTTGGACGGCTCATTAAACTGAAGATTGCTGGGCCTCAACCCCAGTTTCTGAACTTAGTGGGTCTGGGGTGGGATCTGAGAATGTGTTTTTCTAACAAGTTCCCAGGTGTTGCTGATGCTGTTGGCTAAAGAACCAAACCTGGAGAACCGCTGCCCTGGAGGCTGACACAGCTAGCCTAGGAGAATGTCCAGACGCTGATTTTAGTTCAGCACAGTGTAGAACCAAACATACAATTTTCTTCATCAAAAGGCGTCTCCTCTGTGCTGGCTTATCCCTGCCTGATGCTTGCTAAATGCCTCGCTTGGATTTGTCCCTTTCCTGGGTCACTGTCGGTATGTGAGAAAGGTCAGGAGTGACTCTTGGGGGGAGCGTGCAGTTTCAGCAGAGAAGGGTTGTTCCTGAGGGCGTACGAACAAACCAGCTGCTTCTGCCCTTTCCAGAGGCTGCCTGAGTTTGCTTAGACCCCCAAGGTCCAGCTGGGACCTTGGAGCTCCAAGGGGAATGGGAGCATCTCAGTGGCTGGTGAGAGGATGAAGTAGTTATCCTTAGAGAACGATTTTACTAGCATACTTCAGATTATGTGTTTATTTCTTCCACACTGCTTAGGAATCCATGATATTACTTCATTGATTCAACATGCAAGCATTGTCTGGAAAGTATCCAGCCATTGTTCATATAATGAGAACATATTACAGGGCTAGATGTACTTTACTTGTACGAGTATCTTTGCTTGGTCATCTGTGTTGCTCATTACCTGCTTACTTAATTAAACACCTACTGGTGGAAGACCTGCTCTCAGACTCTGTGCTGGGCTCTGGGGACACGGAGATGAACGAGGAAAAAGCAAGAAGACAAACTCCCCGGCCTCGAAGGCTCCCAGGTCAGGGGTAGGGAGGACACAGCCACAGTTTCCCAGGGTGGGAGGAGCAGCCAGAGGAGGCTTTGCAGAAAGTGTGACTGAGCCTGTGTGTCTGGGATAGACACCAGCCACCAAGGTGTTTCAGACTCAGGATGTTTCATAATCATAGGCTTGTCACGAGCAAAATAAAGCAGAGTGTTCATATTTCCCCCCATGAGGATCTTTGAACCATGCCCAAGATCTACTTTTACTCTGGCTAAAACACAATTCTGTATTTTCTTCTTTTCTTAGACCCCCAATTATCAAAGATCTTTCAACTCTCTCAATCCATCTTCTGGAGTGTCTTTCTCTGACTGTCTCCCCCCAGGCAGCGTGAGCCTCACAAACCTGATCCCCCAGTGGTTGGGTTGCAGAGATGCCGGGAGCAGCAGATGATGCCGTGAGAGGCAAGTCTGAGGTTCCCAGGTGGCACCTCCTGGGCCTGGTCCCTGTGCCTGTGTGCAGAGCTGGCAGCTCAGGATTGCACTGGTTTACACCTATCCACAGGCCACAGAGGGACCTGCTTCCCTACACATGTGCCAAGGCTGTGGGCTATTATCCAGCTTAAAAAAATCTGACAAGGAGAAAATAGCATCTCATTATTCTTTTAATTTGTATTTCTTATTCATAAATGAGCATACATTACAGGTAAAATTCTATTTCATTTGAACAAAAAGAGTGCCTTTTCCATTTGTCAAAGGCTCAAGAGTAGGATACCTAGTAATAAATTGATATGCTCGGTCTCTTCTCTCAAGAGTCTTCATGGCTTCCCTGACCTATGATTGTTGGGGGCACCATTTCCTAACACCTAGGAGATGTGGCAGTACCAGGATCTATACATGGCGGTTGTCTTAAACCTTTGCATGCACTACAGCATGGGATGGGTGACACTCCCACGCAGGGTGCAATTCCATGGGTGCCCCTGACATCTTCCCGCCGTAGGAGCCATGATGTGTACCAACACTAAGTTTGAAAGTAGCATCCCCAGACCACAGCTCTCACCTGCATCTGCAGTAGACTTCATGCCTCTAGAGACTGGTGTGTCTAAAGTCAGAATCCATGCAGAGAACTTTGTGCTCACAGGTGAATGAAGGAAGAGGGGCTGCAGGCTCCCATCTCTCACACTCTGTTTTCACCACTTCTCGTCAATCAATCTGGCTCATACTTGGTCATCAGGGGCCACAGGGACTCTTTTAAAGGGTTGGGAAGGAAGACAATCTGAGGATTCCCACCCCACATTGGCCTCCTTTGAGGAAAATGCAAATCAGTGGAACCAAGAGACTTTACAAAGGGACACGCCACACGCCACACCGGTGTCATTATGCAAAGCAGCACACTCAGTAAAAGCCCCAGCCAGGGTCACAAGATCAAGCTTTAGCAGAGGGGGCGTCATCCGGATATACGAAGCTTCAGCAGTGATGCTATGAAGTAACAAGCGTCATGTATTGTGATTAGAAGAAATCATGGCGTTTAGCCCATGGAATGAATCCTGGCATAGGATAAAGTCAAAATATGGATTCTACTTAGCAAATCAAAGGAGACGACTTTGAAAGTCCAGTTCTCTGGTTTATAGAGGAGTTTGTTGCTATGTGATGGGGTGGAGGAGAGTAACAAAGGGGTGTTTGAAGATGTAACATATGCAGATTGCACCCACTGGCCTCTGAAGGGTGGGATGGCCTGGCCTGGGGATGCCTCCTAACGCTGGTGTCTGTAAAGGTTGTTCATCGGTGAGCTCTGACTAACCCTGAGGTTAGAGCTGACTATGAGTTACTTTCCTGGGAAACCCAATCTGGACAGAATCCTCAAATTCTGTTTCTTCTTGATAGAACTCCACTAGCCTGTGTTTCACGTGTACATATCTGGTCCCTACAGAGGTGCATGTTCAGCTTTTGTTCTGTGCTCAGGGTATTGGAAATAATCATTTTCCCAAACACCTAGTTATAAGCACTTTGGGATCTTGTTCCACATTAGGTATTTCTTAGTCCTAGGGGCCAATTTATCCACTGCCACAAATTTGGAGAGAAAACTTTTGGTGTCTCAGCAGTCAGCTGTCTTGGGTGCCTGGAACCAAGAGCTATCAGAATGTGGACTGTATATTATAACCATTTTGGAGACAGGGCTTTCCTCTGGGCATTTTCCTACTTAGCCCTTGGAGAAACCCTGTTCCATTGCAGGGTATCCCAACATCTGTATTTTCTGAGACACAAAAAGAATAACATACAAGGCTGGATTTTTGTTTTCTATCTGAATTTCAACTTCGTGGCTGGTTTCTAAGCCTTTTAGCTCTTCTTCGTTCTAGCAACGACACAATTGTTCTCCTTGGGGGTGGGGCACGTGGTGGTGATTGGTCTCTGGCGTCGAAAGATGCGGATGTTGAGAGCAGGCTTTTTACCTTGTAATGGGGTTGATCTTAGAAAAATGACCTCACACCTCTGGTCCTCAATGGCTAACGCGTACAATGGGTACTCAGTAACTGATTTTAGAATCAAGGAAGCAAGGCATGAAGACGGAGACTCTGATCTCTCAATGTCCTTTGACCTTCATGGCCAAGTTCTTATTTGGGACTATTATTCACTTTTGTTGTTGTTGTTGTTTCTGAAATCTTGAGCTTACCCATCTTGGTCCACAGAAGCCGTGGTTTTCAGAGTCATCCTCATACTGACGAGCTTCTTGGACATCTTGTTTGAAACATCATGTCTACCCAAGTTATGGTTGTTTCCTGATGGCAGAGACTGTTTCCTGCTTAACCAAATGTATGTCAAGCATGTGGCACAGTGCCTGGCATGTAGGATGTTGCTTACGAGTGGATTTACCTGTCTTATAGCTCCTCAAAGTGAGTCTGGAAGGCAGATGACTGAAGAGAGAAGAAATGTAGAACTTATTGATAACCAAACACCATAACATGGTAACAAGGATCAGTTTCTTCCCTGTACAGGGAAGGCTGGTTGAGTCCTAACCGGGTGAATACCACTGTCGTCACAGGGGTCAGTCCTCCCGGGAACCGTGGACCAGCAGGAATGTCCATGCCTCCAGCATGGGCCCATGCATCACGAGACCAACACCCAGTCAAGGTACACGCATCTGGTGGCTAAAAGAACTTTTCTTCTTTGAAAAATAATAAAAATCTTCTGACTTCCCACCACAGCCAACCTGATATCAAAGAGTCAAGAGCAACCTCAGATTCATCAACATTCCTTTAATGAGGTGAGCAATTTTTAATAGTAAACCTGATAGCTGAGTAACACGATGATGGCACAAAAACAGTGAGGACAAAGCGTTTGCACCAACACCCACCTGGGATGGGTATAAAAGGGCTGGGAGGCGAGGAGGTTCTCAGACTCTGTGGCTCGGCCTTTTCAGCTGTTCTGAAACTCCTGTGCAGCCTCAGCCCAACACCATGACTTCCTCCTGCGTCAGCTTACCCTGCTCTCTGGGCTGCACCAAGCCTCTGGGAGCAAGAAACCTCCCCGTCCCTGTGGTTGAGGTCGAGTGCCCGACCAGACCAGAGTGTCTCTTGGCCAACCTGGCACACGCCAACCGAGTGCGTGTGGGGTCCACCCCTCTGGGCCGACCCAGCCTCTGCCTGCCCCCCACCTGTCACGCTGCTTGTCCCTTGCCGGGGACCTGCCACATTCCCGGCAACATCGGAATCTGTGGGGCCTACGGCGAAGGCAGCCTGAATGGCCACGAGAAGGAGACCATGCAGTTCCTGAACGACCGCCTGGCCAACTACCTGGAGAAGGTGCGTCAGCTGGAGCGGGACAACGC